ATGAACCTACACTGAGAAGGAATACACATGTCCCCATGCCTACTAGCTATGTAATGTTTCTATCAGCTAAGTGAACTACACCACAGTGCAAAGCCCACAAGACTTAGGAACCAGTGAAAAAATACCTCTTTTATTCTGGTCAAGATTAATGCCTGTTTGTAAGAAAAAAGTGGAGTTAGACGAAAAAGCCAAATCCATTAGATAATTAAATCTATTGGATCAATTAATCAAGTAACACCATTATGAAATGTACAAAAGGAGAATCAAAATTCAAGAACCAAAAATTACTAAGAGGCAAATACTTTTTAGAAATAAGCCAAACACCAAAAACACGGCAGACAGTAGTATTCTCCAAGGGCACTGAAAATACTGGCTTTCTGGATTTGAGCCACCCATGTATTCTTTTTGGTTCATGTTTAAAGACTTTTTCAGTCTTAAAAAGCTTCAAAGACGTTTAATTTGCTTAAACTAGGTCAATAAATCAAATAAGAAATTTACTTCATGTTCCACATGCCTCCAACTACACTTGTGAAGGAAAGCCTTGGGCAGCAGCACCCTTAGGAGGCAAACAGGCTAAACAGTACTTGTTAAAGAGGAAAAGTTCTGGACAGCTGTTCTTTGAAAAGACATATTTATGTTCTCCTAATTTTATTATTTGAACAGCATGACAGACATACAAGGTGTTCCTTGAACAAGCAAGGCTGGTCCTGACTCAAAAGAGGTACAATTTAAGTTGAACAAGCCATAACACGAAAGAGCAAGAGACAAGAAGAGGCTCGCATGGGAAGAAACGAGATGACAAGGTGCAGCAGAAAGGACAGGGAGCGACTGAATCCGAAGGCAAGGCAAAGGAGAGTGGCAACGGTTACTCGCCTATGGAGACAGTGGCACCGGATCAGGTAGCAGCAGCTGCAGGCTGCCCTGCAGCATCTCGGACGGGAGGGAGAAATCCCACCCGGAGGAGCGATGTACACAGCCAGGCGGGCCAAGGGGCTGTACTCCTCAGATGGGAGAGTCGCCACTTGGGGGCAAGAGTCTTGACAGGCAGGAAAAGGGACAGGAACAGAGCTTTTAACTGAGAGATGTAGAGGAAAGATGAATCTAGGATAAGCCAGAACTATCAACTGAGGTGGTAAGAGAGGTGAAATAAGTTGCTTCATCCTGCTAGACAGAGGGAGAGATTGAGAAACTAAAGAAAAGCTGCTGACAAATAAAATTAACAGATGGCTGAAATACAATGGTAAGGAAGTGTATTCAAATGCTGTACACTCAGAGATGACAATTAAAAGCATGACAGGGAAGAGAGAAGGGCAGAGCCCTGGGGGGTAAGGCTAACTTGATCTCGATTTGTCATTTTCTTTTGATGAAGTTTTGACACACTAGCATGGAGGCTGCTACCGCAATAGCGGCTGACATTTTAAAGTCACACGAGGAGCAAATCGACTGCTGGACTGCTCAGACTTGCATGAGTTAAGACAGAACCCTAATAAAGGAGGCTGAGGGGAGACCTGATCGCTCTCTACAACTACCTGACAGGAGGGGGCAGGGAGGGGGTGTTGGGCTCTTCTCCCATGTAGTTAGTGATAGGACGAGAGGAAATGGGCTCAAGCTGCGCCAGGGGAGGTTTAGGTTGGAAATTAGGAAAAATTTCTTTACGGAAAGGGTGGTCAAGAATTGGAACAGGCTGCCCAGAGAGGTGGGGGAGTCCCCATCCCTGGAAGTGTTCAAAAAACGGGCAGAGGTGGCACTTGGGGACATGGTTCAGTCTGGTCTACCCTTGATTGGTTTAGAGTAGACTTGGTAGTGTAGGTTAATGGTTGGACTGGATGATCTTAAAGGGCTTTTCCAACCTAAACCATTCTATGATTCGATGATTCTATAAAGCAGCTCAGCCCAAACACAGCTGCTGCAGCTCCCTGCGCTCTCACAGGCAATGGCCGCAGTTTGTCAATTTTGGAGCATTTGAGCCCATCTCAAATGCAGCTCTGTTGCTTGCAGCGTGACTGTCTCCTTGTCTGAATAAGGAGGGCTGTCTAAGCCCCTGAGGAGCAGGGCTGTGTTGAATGCCAAACAGTCGGTAGATCAGGCTGGCCACTGGTCACGCAGACAGGGCTCGAATGCATGTCCTAACTCAAGGAGGGCAGACTGTCAACGCAGGAGACACGCGTAGTCAGTCAGGGAGAAGCAGGAACATCACTGCTCATGTTGAGCAGAAGGCAGTCTTTACCTGATGCACAGTCACGCAGCAGTTTTACGTACACTTCCCTGGAGCACTGCAGTCACCCAGGCAGCGCACCGTGATCCAAAGGGTTAGCATAAATTCTGTGATGAGGGACTGACACGTCAAATTGCCAGAAGCCCTTTATGGCCACTTTTGGGAACCAGATGCCTCCCAACCTGCTGCCAGTTGCATTCAGTTACAAACCTGGAGTTTGAACTGTGAGCAACTGCCTTTGGCACGATGAGGTTGCATCAAGTTTCAACAACTACCACACTCAAACTTCTGACAGACCTGCCAGGCACCTGACCACTCCACCCACACTCCTCCCAAAAAGTTATTTATGAATACATGAGTGATTTTATCTTTGTGCTGCAATACAAATATTAGGGCAATGTCTTGACACTGCTGTTCTGCAGTGGAAATCTCTACCTTCTGTCACTTCACAAGTGTTCCAAGCTTCTCCTCCACATTTCCCCAAGTTTTCAACAAGACAAAAATTACTCAGCTTAATGAAACACACTAGAGCTTTTGGCAATTTTTTGTTGATAAAGGAAATGCGAACATTCCTATAAAAACATGCCTTCTTTCAACAATCACCTTTGCACCCTCTGTAATGTAACACCCTCTCCTGTCTGGGAAGACTGCCACCAAAGCTTTATCTTCCTTCTTCATGGCACTCTGGAGAACTCCTTGCTGCTGCGCTCCTGCTTTACCACTGCTAGACAGCTGGCATGCCAAACTATTGCTGAGCAGAATTGCTTTTTTGCTCTCGTACACCTGCCCACACCATCTTATTCAACTGTACTCTGATCTAAGGCTGCAAAGAGGACAACCGGAGCCCTTAGATGCAACTGCAATACAAAACATACAAAAAATCCTTCATTTCCCTACTTGCAGTGTGATTTTCTCACCTGGAACCTGACAGCAACACTTAGAAACTCTCTCCAAAAGACCTGTGTGATCTCGGTGGTAGTACAGAGTTGAATCTACTGATAAAGTAATGTGACACTTCAGCCTCTCTGGAAAAACATTTGTACTCTGATTTATAAATCTTTCCACTTCTACAGCAAAAGAAACATCCTGGTCACAAAGAACACATATCTACTCCCCCATTGCAAACACATGTGTTTCTTTTTAACTGGTAAATGGAACCAAAGTGGAATGAACATAATTGCATTTGCAGCGTATTTTCACTTTTCTGTCTCTCTTGTTTTCCTACCTGCAAAGTAGTGCTCTGATCAGAGAATGGGGAACTGAAGAAAGTGGTGACTATACTCATCACTATTTCTGTAACGTACTTCTCCAATATGGAGTCAGCGTGCTTTCTGTCGCTGGTGTTGTTACAAGCCTGCAAGACAATTCGTTCTTAGGTCAGAAGCAGCTCAACCAAGGTAGATCAATACGTGTTACAGACTGGAATTCTTGATTTCGCACTGTTCTAGTCACAGCAATTCCCTGCCACAGTGATATTTATGACACTTGGGTCTCTGGATTTCCAGCACACACAAAAGCAGAAGCCCAACACCGTTACTGTTTTAATGTGTTGGCATATAGCATGTTTAGGAGGGAGGGGAAAAAAGCAGAGTGCCTTAGAGGGAAGAAAGTAGTAGGGTAGGGAGGACTGAGGTGTAATGCTTTCGTATGGGGAAATACTTGGAATCCCAGGCAAAAAGCCATATGGCCAAACAAATGCCAAGCTAGGAAAAAAATTTGTCCTGACCTGCCAAAAATCGTTGACTATTGCTCGGGAAGGAGCTCACTATCCTGGCCAGAATAAGCAAGCCAGGTGGCAGAACAGAAAAAGGCATTAGACAAAAGAGCAGGGTGTGGGGCTTTTCTGAGGTTTGTTGGGTTTTTTTTTTTAATTTTTAAAAGGAAAACATTAATGTGTTCCATGGAATATGACTAATGAAATCCACAGGCATAAGGAAAAGAAGGCACACAGAAATTTGAAGGAATGCAGTCTTCACGGTACTTATTGCCCTGATGCACTGTTATGTCTTATTCTTACTGCTCTGTACTAAATAGGTTCATTTAAGCTCTTTTAATTCACTTCCTAGATACAGAACACATTACCCGACAGATGTCAACCAGGAAGTTCTCAAATAGCTTCCACATATGATTACTGGTGTAAATCTCTTTCATTTCTACTTCTGTGTCCACATAGCAATGATTCAAGAAGTTGATGTATGCAATTTTGACCTAGAAGCAGAGAAAAAAAAATACCTTTAAAAAATAAAAACGTGAACAGTATCATGAATTAATATAATGTCACATTAAAACGGCTATATAAATAATTTGTAATTCTACTTCTTCCTTTTATTTAAGCACCGGTGAAATTTAATGCCATGAATAGCAAGACATCATCCAATAAAAAACACCAGGATTATTGCAGACAAAACGTCAGCACAATAATAATTTCCAGTTCTGCAGAACCATCTGTTCAAGGTTAGCAGCATACTCCATAAACCTCTCTGCCTCAAGAACCCTATAAAACAACCAAGTACAGCATCACATCCCCGTTTTAAGGGCAAGGAAACAAGCACAACAGGATTTAACTTCACTATCCAGATGCACTGGGGGGGCCGACAGCACAACCGGGGAAGGAAGCCAGTTTCCCAGCTCACAGCTTACCGTCCACCTGCACCACCAGCCTTCCCGGGCCAGGCTCAGCAATATCAAATCTCTCTCACCCAAAGCCGGCACGCTTCAAATACCTGTAGGGCAGTGCCTCCCAAGAGCCCTCACCTCAGGTATGCAATCCTCGTGGGTTACTACCCTAACAATGTCATCCAAAGGAAGAAGGGAGTTGCATTTTATTTCTGTGTAGACATTTTTGCCTTCTGTGCACACGGCAAGCAGTTCTACTAAGTGGATGTGGTACATCAGTGGGCTGTTTTCATCCATCCGATCTCTCTCTGATCTCATCATTTGCACCAAAGTCTGGAAGGAGGCTCTGTCATTGTAAAAGACTAGGACGTCTTCTCCCGCATTCACCAGCTACCAAGAAAGAAAAACATTCCATCAGGAGATCAAAGCCTGCGCATCTCCCCGCAGCATCCTCCCCTAATCTGTGGGCTGACTGTTGCAGTGCAAATCCCGATTAGCTATTCTTTAGACACTTAAAAGGAGCGCAGCCCACCAAGTCAGCTGGGCATTCCTCTTGTGCTCCCTTCATGGGATAGAGGGCTCGAGTATGACATTTTCTCTTAAAGAATTTACCACTTCTGAACTGCTAAAGAACTTCAAAGCCAGCCCAACTGACTGCTTAGACAGAAGTTGTGCCAAGAAGCTTGTGACTTTCCATTGTGCTTTTCTATTTCACATATATTGCCTCAGCTGACTTTTTAATACAGCTAGCTGTAGACATACCGTTTTGTTCAGAGAAATGCCCCCGGGGCATGCTGGATAGGAGGACTGCAGGGCTCAGTAATTCCACCCTTCTGAACAAACATCATCAATTTTCCAAGGCTAGCGAGTGACATGCTAAGTCATACGCTGAAGATTTCTATCAGCTTCACATTTGAGACCCAGCTGGCCACATTTTCAGAGCAGTTCAGACCTCCTCCAACTCCATGAAGGGAAGAATGAGCAAACCGAGACCTGCTCTGGGCTTGGCACTTCTGAGCACGTAGCTGGAGGGATCTGAGGCTGTCCTCCCACAGGGTTTGTGGCAAACAGCTAGATAAAATGCAGAAGACAACCCCCAAGGCAACCCCCTTTTCTCAGCAGCTGCTGACCCCCGTAGAAGCCCACTGCTGAGCGTCTCGCAAACTCAACTCTGTGTTGAGAGGCTCAAAAAACCATTTTTGAACTGAATGACAAAATATGGAAGACCTTTGATCAATCTAGTAAGACTGATACACAACAGCCAGAAGTTGACAAATCTGATCCTCGGGCTCCCCCTGCTGAGGAGGCCAATAAAAATCCTGTCAGACAGGCAAACACGCTGTCAAAAGGATCACGTCCAATATCTCACTTAAAGGGATTCATTCACCCTTCTCTTACCTCTCCCTTCTATCCTGACACTCCAATTTCCCAGTTACCTACACATCTAAATTTCTGAAGACCCTCAGACTCTTCCCCCTGCAGCACTTAAACAGCTGAATATGTAGGTCTTGGTACGATAAGAAATTCCCATGAAAATACCCTACTACCATGGGAAAATTTTCCTTCTGTATTAGTGATCTTGAAATTAAACTATTTCTATTCTACCCAATTTTGCTAAAGAAAGGCACCCTTGCTTCATAAGCCCACCTACTCTGCTGTGTAGGGGCCTGGAAAAAAAAAAACAAACTTGTACGTATCCTTAATAACCGACCACTCGTTATACCTGTAGGTGAAGAGCTCAGAAAGCTTTCAGTCACAAAAAAGCCTATGCTTTTTGGTAGCTGTATGCTCTTTTTGCATCGAGAGCGCTAACTGTCAGCTTCTTGGCAGTCCCAGAAGCGAGAGGATCAATTTGTCATTTTCACCAAATGGTATGTGAAAACTTCTGTTCAGACCTTGCAAATCTCTGCAGCTCTCACCTCAGCCATTACCATATCTTGGCATTTCTTAATGAATTTTCCTTCCGCCTTGACAATTGTCTGCAGGAACTTTATGTACTGAACATTTCTGCCATGTGTTTCAATACAGTGGACAAAGTGTTGAACAACGCGTTCATTAATCTCACTGCAAAGCTGGAAGTTATTCATGAAAATGTGCTGCATTGTTACTGCTTCCAGAATCTAACGGAGGGGATGAAAGAAAGAAAGAAAAATTAGAAAATAAACAAACCACCAAACCCACACAGAGGTCAGGATAAAGTCAACACTCCTGCAGGGTGCAGGACTGAAAAGAACATTTCCAAGGACCTAATCTTTCAACACAACGGCTCATACCTAAGCCTATTTTTCAGTCCACTTCAGCCTCTTGAACTTTTTACACTGAAATGGTCCTAAACAAACAGATCTTGCCAACTTTCGAGGCTTTAGAATGAAAACAAAATGTGACCCCTTCAACCAGTCTTACATCAGAGCAGGCCCAGAGGCGATCACCAAGGACAATCCATTCTCTTTTCTAGCTAGGAAAAAAAAAAAAAAATCATGGCAGGAGGTTATTCTTACCCCTGGGTTAAGGAACAGGTTTATGTGCTTGTGCAGCAATGCCTGGTTCTGTTGGTTCCCAGCACAAAAGTTCTGTAAAAACTCGTGTGCAAGCTTCATGATCTCCTGCATCCTCGTGTCTTCAGCCTGCGAGTGCATGACAAATAAGATGGGGTTAAAAATAATCTGAAGGTTCACTTTCAGGTGAGTACCGGATGAGCCGCAGCTCCAGCTCTGCAAGGGAACTGTCACGTCTCTCCCACACTCCAAAGAAAAACAAACCTCCACCCAGGTCACAGGCATTAGGGATGAGTTTGACCTGCTTCATGGTTTTAAAGATCTTAAAAAATAAAGACCATAATAGAAATTACAGTAGTTTATTCTGTAAAATTGCATACTCCATGGCCAAGCCTGCCAGCAACGTGCTTTAATCACTTTTACACTTCTGAACATACCGGTACATTGGCCAAACCACACATCATCACCTCGGGGCTACAGAGGAAAACTGCCATGTTCCACTGAAATGCATTTCAGCAGCGACAGATAGGTAGTTCGTGGCAAAGAAGAGATGGAAAGTTATCATTGCAACAGTTAAGCCCAATTTATATTTACTGGAATCCGCACGCTACTTGCATGCTTCCAAGTACAGTTCAGGAATCAGTGCCTTTCCTCTGACATCAGTGCGGATTACCAGTCCACTGATGGTACAAAATGCAGTTTGGAAAATTAGTGTCTGCTTTTATTTTTAAGGAGTTTCATACATTTCCAAGGGTGAAGCACCTTCCACGCTGCCTGTCCAATATGTTTTCATATGCACAGGACAGAAAGGTGACAAGAGGTGTCGGAGGGTGTTTTTGTTGCTGATTTTTTAACAAAATATGAAGCAAGACAACATGAGACTTAGCTTAACATTAATCAAAGCTACTGTCTAGAATTACTGGTTCTCGGAAACCTGTAGAGTCTGGAACAGAGGACAGCAGAGTGACCGGGAAAACGTGAAGAGCTCCCTCACGTACGCAACGATAAGTACCCGTCACCTGTGACTAGCGGGCAGCCAACGCGATGAACGTAGGGCGTGCTTCATCAGCACAACTCGGTGCTGCGCAAGCTCAAGCCGCACAGCAACCCGCAGTGGGCTTCAAACTGCACCGCTGACATTACACAGCACTCTGATACGGCTAATTACGAACAGCAGACCTCGCCTGGAGAGCCAGTCGGTATTTATTCATTTCTAAGGGGGAGTTTGGGACTCTACAACTGGGGGGGGGTGTCCGTGTCTGTGTAACTACTGGGCAGACCTGCTGATAAATCCCACGAGGGACCGGGCACCCTCGTTTCCCTAAGTGTTCCTGGGATGGCTGTCATACACCTGTAACGAGGGTCTTGCTTCTACCAGCACAGCTTAACTTCAAGGCAGCACACACCTCCCATGCGAAGTGAGAGCTGAGCCTTGGTCTTGCTCTGAGCTACGACGGACAAACATGTTCAGGAAATAGAGTGTAACACTGTATATTCAAACACTTTAAACAAAGCTTATGTAAGCTTCCACCTATTTTTGAAGCGTGGATATTTCACAGACCACGAGGGTATACAAAACAGCCTCTTTGAATCCAATATAAAGATGGAGGGTTCAGGAGGACTCGGAGGGGGTATTAAAAGCCTGTCAACATGACATGAAGCAAGGCGACAGTCAGAGAAACCCAACCTTTTCGTAAGGGATCTGCAGCAGCTCCAGCACCACCGCGTGAGCTCCCATGTTCCTCAGAAGTCGCTGCTGCTGCTTACGGCTTTTCCTGACCGAGGCACTTTCCTGAACACAGAGCTTGCTGAGCCGCAGCAGGATCTGCAGAAGAGACTTGCTTTAGAGCTAAATTCTGGGCTTTATTTCAGAACATGCCAGGTGGCTCCCAGAGAGCAGCAACAGCAAAACACGCATCTGCATGGACTAGAGCAGCTCTAGGCAGCAAAATCAGGTTTTGGGGTCTCGAGGTGAGGAGCCAAGACCAGGCTAAGGCCTGGTTGCTCCTGCAACAACAGCAGAGGTGCAAAAGGCCTGAGCTGGAACCAAGAACCTCCAGGAAATGTGGGCGCAGAAGGCAGCGACGGTGTCTGCTGCCCGCTCGAGCAGCAGCCACCACCCCCTCGCGACCCCTCCGGGGACGCAGCAGCCAGCACAGCCTTGCACCACTCAGCACAGGCAAGGGAAGTAGCGTGGCAACAGTGCTATCATCACATCTTGTGGTTTACTGGCCTGGGCACTATCCATCACATCTCTGACTAGGGCTGGTCCTGCAGAATTCAGCAGTGTCAAGTGAACCCGGCATCGGGCTCCGCAGTACGGAGCCAGAGAAAGACCATTAGCTCACACCACACCAGCGCCAACGCATGCTCTCTGTCTGGTGTTTTTTAAATCAAATTTCAACAGCACGGTGATTTTGAGTGCAAGGTACTCGGGACAGGGCAAATTAAATAGCTTCTCCACTTGCTTACTTCCTTCGTAGCCTTTAACAATAAAAATATTGTGTTACCATTGAAACAGCAGCAAAATGTCGTGTTTCTCACTAATCCATTCTCAAGGAAAGAATACACATGTTGTGCTTATTATATTCCTGGCTTCTCATTCAAGTTGGGCTTTGTTATTACTCAGCAAATAGTTTCCACAATGGAAGAGTGACTCAGACTTTCCTGGGTGTCTCCCTGACTGCAGCTCCGCAGAGCTGTGTTACTCATTTACACTTCCATTTAACTATCAAGAAGCAAAGTTTTACCTCTTTTACTACACGGTAGTTGTAGCTGCTAGTACTTTCAGGCTTTTGGGACTTGCTGTGACCTTCCTGGGGATAAAATCAGACCATTTATTAGTAGTGTATACTATTGCCTCCATGAAGGCTAAAATTACCGTTCTAGGATAGTGCCTGCTCTCTTCCTGGAAAAGAGTGTCATCCTTCCTTTTTCTGACAGTCTCAGAAAAATACATGTAATTATCTTGTCAAGTCACAGTGACCTCTATAACGTAAAATAAGGTGAGGGCGGGATGATTTTAGAGACAGCAACCTCCTGCCCTTTCCCTTGCTCGACACATTCTGTCTGTAACCAAGCCTCCCCCCAAAAAATCTTCTTACTTTCTCTCCCTCTCTAAAATATTAAACTGTCATCGCACAGATATCCAGAGGTGCCTCACAGTACTACGCACAAGGAAAGCAACAAGTACATTACTTTTATTTATTTCTAGTAATAAATGTTCATAACCCAGGGACTGTTTCTTGAATTCCCTCACCCAGTCTTTTCTATTTGATTGCAAATTCTATGGAGGCCAAAAGGTGTTTAGTTCTAAGCCAGATGTGCATGCCAACAAAGTCCTGTGTTATCAGGTACAGATAAAGCACCGTTCTCTTCTGTCATTTAATCGCAGTGCCAAAATGCATCACCTGAACAGTTCACAGCTCTGCCCTTACATTATTTGAGGTACTTCTGACCACACAAACACCATGCAATCTGTCAGTGCTGAAAGGACACAACTTGGGAGCCAGAGCAAACCCACACCAGCTGCTCTGTTAGAGCCTAAAGATGGCAAATCAGTGGCTGCTAATCCTGAGCAGTTTCCACTTGAGACTAAGTGGCATCAACTAGCTCAAGTTCTCCTCTTATCCTTGCCTTAATCTAAAAGCAATACAGATAGCCTCACCAGATGGGTTTTTGTCACATTTCTGGAAACAGTTACAACTTCATAAAATATTAACACATGAATTTCTGCAAACACAACCTAATTACCTCTTTTTTCTTGTGTTCATTTTCACCTTGCACTCCATCCATAGTCTCATCAGGACCTTGGCCTTTGTACACCCAAAGCTCCGATTTTTCCACAATAGACCTCAGCTGGTCCAAATCTTGTTTTATCTGCTTGTAGTTGTCAACATCTTGGCTGGTAACAAGCAGTTGAACCTTACATGAATGCAATCCATTAGTTGCATGAAAGGATTGGTTTTAGCTGCAATATATACATTCAGATGAGGAATAACGCCTTAATACACACACATACCTGCTTAAAAGCTTGAAGGACTTCTTGTCTCTGACTAAAGTGCCGGAAGAGCAGCTGAAGTGCTCCAGACACCAGAGGAGGATAATCATGCATTGTCAAATGCAACAAAACTCTGAGAAATGTTCTGCCGCCATGATCATCCAAATCCAGTGGTGTGTTCTCCTCACTGAAAACAGAGTGTAGGAGTTAACTAGTACATCAGGCTGAACATCCCAGCAGGTTCGTAGGTCCAGTCAGTGGTGGCAGAAAACCTTTTTTCTTACTTTTAATTAAGGGAGAAATTTATCAAATCAAGGGCTATCTTAAGACACACAGGGTTTTTTTGGTGTGCTGCTTAACAGGGATGCTATTCCAGAATCTCATTAATCATGGTTCACTCAGCTTACATTATCCAACTCACATTTTTGGGGGGTCAAACTATGCCAAAATATTTGTCCCTGTGTCAGCCTCACCCTATTACTCAAATAGTTCTTGCCCATTCCTGGTACTACCCTTCTCACTACTTCTGAAATAAAACCCTCCCCCAGTATCCAGGTTGCAATGTTAGTTATGTCCAGCACTTGAAATAATCCTCTTCCCTCTCTTTCCCCTGCACCCCTTGCATGAGACACTCATGTTGGGTTTTTTTTTCCCCCATCAGTGCCCCCTGAACCTTTTCTGTATTCTGCTTCCAACTGAGTCTGCACGCTTACATTAAAAATTCTGGTTGTTAATTCTGTAAGTGAATCTCTCTCTCTCCCCTCCTGCCTCCATTTAAGAAATCAGTTATCTTAGGTTTACAGAAAACAACTGCAGCTCTGAGCAGCTTAAGGACAAGCTCAAGTACTTGGAGTCTGTCACTGACTTGCTGTCCTGTGATTTAAGAAAGGATATAAGCCGCTCCGGAAGGCAGGCAGGTATGGAAGGTACAGCTTGCTTTGTTCTGTCACGCATGTGCAGCTTAATGCTGCATTATACAAAAAAAGGATGGCTAAAAATATATCTGTCTCAGTAGAAGCCCCAATCCTTGCCTACACAAACTTTTCCACCTAAGATTTTACTGCAGCGTTCAGCTCACATGCACTAATCCTCCAGCTTGGCTTTCACCCCCACGAGTGAAGCCCTCCCACGAAGATCTTTCTGGCTGAAGGACCCCTGCCCCTTATCTGTCGCTTTTAATCCAAACGGACACTATTTTGAGCTGTATCAAAGGCATTTCAGGAAAATGAAGCCTAGGTAACTGTGGCAGCTGTTTCCCAATCTGTTCCCAGTTACCACCTCGCTTCCAGCTGCAATCCCCACTCCTTGGGAGCCCTGAGGGCTGCAGCCTGGGAACTCCCGAGCTACCTCTTGGTTAGCACTAGTGAAGAGATACTTTCCTTCCACCAAAGATACCCTCGGCTTGTTCTTCGATATGTTCAAAGTCTAGGGCTCCTGAGAAAATAAAAAGAGACAAATATGTTATGTCAGAGTTGCACCAGAGATGTTTTTGCAGCCTTAGAACATTTTAAATGGCAAGCGGTGATGTAGGTGTACGCAAGGGACCCAAGCTGAAGGGAACGCTGAGAGATTACTGAAGCACCCTGCTAAGATAACATAAGACAATAAATTAACCTGTTCTCAGCTCACAAATTAAACTGCACAGTAATTTCAGCAACATCCAGGTTTATTCCTCTCTTGACTATTTTTAGATTGCACCGGCATCATTCCAGGGCACTGATGGGACCTGGCATCATTCGGAGTGGCCATCCACAAGAAACACCAAACTTCAGCCTTGAAGAGTTCTAAAGTAATAAATTCAGCAATGACAGCAATACCCCTGTGGCTCAATAGGCAAAAAAATCTTTGTGTTTTCAGTATAAGGTATGTATTATCACATGGGCAATGACCAATATTCTGAAACGACAGAGACTTGGAGCTCTCAATATTTCAAAGATTTGCAAAGGGGAACAGAAGGAGAGCACAGGGATTTTACGTCCTCGCCAAAAATGCTTACTCCCTGTCTTCCAAAGTTCATCTTGCAGAAAGAGCTCTCGCTCTCCCCGCCAGCCCAATTTCAAAGGCCCTGGCACCCCAGGGGGCTGCCGGACAGACAGCCCAAGAAGAAAGTGAACACATCCCCTTTGAATTGAGATCAAAAGAAACAGCCTCCTCCCTTTGAAGACTTCACATCTCAACCACATTTTACTTACCTTTCTCTTCTGCATCTAGCAATACAGTCCCCAAATTGAGGAAGAAAAACTGTTTATGTCTAAAAAGCTGCACTTTTAAAGTCCAGTTATTCCTACATGGTACAAGTCCTAACTACAGGACACTTTCTCCGCTGGAAAGCGATAGAGCAATTTGCAACACCCCATCTGCCCACCCCACTAACTATCCTGCTTTCCATTAAGAAGAACACAAGGACATGACAAGCTCCTCAACAGCTTACTTTCATACTCTTGTCTAGTAGCACTGAGATACAGACACCTCCAGATGTCTTGCCTTCCTACAATACCTTTGGAAAAGAGAAGTTTGGGCGGGTAGAGGCATGACATCAGGGGGAAGGGATGGAAGGAATGGAGGAAATCAGATGTCTTTGGGGACCGTTTTCCTTCACCCAGAAACATTAATAGAAGATTTGAGGTTGATGACAGATCATACATGATAGTGTTTATTTCAGGTTTTCTTTAAAGGATGCATCTCAGGCTCTTGGTCACACTCAACACATGGAAACAAATAGGAGAGCACAAATAAATCCTGGGTTTTGTTTGGGGTATACGGAAATGATCCTCACTCCGTTATTCCCGCTGCTAGCAGGGTACTCTGCTTCAGTGGGACCATTCATATGCCAAAGCAAGAACCTGAATCAAGCATCCAATTAGCACCTCTAAGAGTAAAGAGTCTTCCCTAACCCACACAAATTCGTTCTTTGCAAAATAACTAACCTGGTACATTAGCTGGCATTTCTTGATTACTGCTTCCAGTGGGTGATTCGGACATCTGGGCATTGCTTTCATCAAATTCATGTTTAAATATACAAAGTAGGCAGGAGATTCTGTAGTCCAATCTCACATTCAAAATAAACTGATGATACAGAAGTAGTAAAAATGTTGGAATAACTTGCCTATGTTCAGCACACGTGCAATTTACAGATAGCGCAGTGCTACCAACATGCAAGATGGACATAGTAAAGGTGCGGCTTTAACTCGGAGAAGAGGTACGCAAATGTTTTTCTAAAAATCCCCACAATTCAGTAATTTTTTCCAGTGATTTCAATGAGCATATGATATACACACAGTAATAAATACTTATGAGTGAAAGATTTTGGCAGAGTTTTGATCCCTCGTTACTGCCCGATGCAGGCACCCTCACCCCGCCCCCAGGACAGGAAAGCCCCATTTCTATCTCCGTTCTGAATCCTGCAGGAATCTGACAGACCAGCACTGCTGTCCTCCTCCTTGAGGACAGCACAGGCAAAGAACACTTGCAGTTGTCTCAAATTTATGGGAGCACGCTTAATGCCAGTTTTAATAACCCACGGTAACAGGGGGAACACTGGCACACTAAAATATCCCATCGCACATGCCAGGCCGTAAGAGAAGTTCTGGCTTTGACTAAAATTAGCAATGGTGAAAGGAAGTGAATCAAGCCTCCCCTACGAGCTGCATCTGCTGCTGAGGGGAAGGGCATAACCTCAAACCCAGCTACGTGTGACACCGCCCACGGGGGCACAGGGAAGGTACACCATGGCTTTCCTGCTGCTTCGCATGCTTTCGCCCACAAGGCTTTTGCAGCTTTCTGGCCTCCATCAACTTGCCCATGAAATCACCAAACAGAAAAGGACTCCTACACTGAGGGAGGGAAGACGGATTTCAGCGCAGTAATTCTGTGGCAACTTCTAGATCAAGACAGCGCTGTGGGAAAGGGAAAAAAAAACTTTTCTCTTTGTGTCCCAAAGACTTAGGAGTGAACACATGAGAAAAGCCAGAGACACAGATGGAAGTGACAGCAAGGCTGGCAAATGTGCACACACAAAAACCACTTCAGGCTTACGGCTGTACGAGGAGGAGTCTCAACTATCTCCCCCACCCTTGGGGCACTTAACAAGATGGCCCTGTATATTCAGGGAAATTACTGAGACACTATGAGCTCTCCACTTCAGCAAGTCAGGTGTTTACAAATCACTGTTAAATATGCAGATGTCTACTGCAAACTCATTTCTATTAAATTGTTTCAGTAATGGCGTAATATTGTCATAGGCAAGTTGAGTGCTGCATGCCTGAAAGTCACCCTTGTAACGCTCTACCAGTTCAAAAGAGGCAAATACAAGGCAGGAGTGAGTTCAAAGGCAGCACAGCACTACATTAATAGAATCACAGAATCATTTAGGTTGGAAAAGACCCTTAAGATCATCGGGTCCAACCATAAGTCTATGCTGAAATGAATGAATCGTGGGGAATTTTTAGAAATCCTCGTGTTCCGCCTGAAGTACAAGACCCATCACTTAATCTGAAACACCATGGGCCCAGTTTTGCAGAACTGCGAATACCTAAGTGCGTTGCCTGGTGCTGGCAGCAGAATATTTAAAATGGAGGAATGGAAATCTAAGGCCCCTGTTGAGTGCGGTGCCCACAGCTGCTCCTCAAGAAGCACCTCCAGAGCCATCCCTGGTTTCCCCAATGCTTCGATTAAAGACAGCACAAGGTGCTACATTAATTTGCGTTGCTAGTACCTGAAGTATTTCGATGATCTTCAGCTTTGTGTCCATTACCAGGATGTCCTCTTTCTCCGGTTCACTCTGCTTGACGTTACCCTCAGGAGCAGCAGCAAGCGGAGTCATGGGCAAGAACCCACCGCCTCTGAGCACCACCTGGGTCATCAGCTCACCGACTCCGTGGATTGATCTCATCACATTGCTCCCTTCAGAGAGGTAGGTAAACAGGTAAGGTTATGATGGTGTAATGGGACTGCATTAACAGGGCAAGGACCCTCCACATCCTACGAAGAGAAATTGTCTCAACATTAAACGAGGCCAGGCGGACACCTAAATCCCTGGAACAGACGGAAGTCAACAGAAGCACTGCAGCACTTTCAGAAAGCCCCCGCCCTGTCCCTCTTTCATCACAGGCATTACTCAGCTGTACAGCCAAGCCATAGCCAGAAAGGAGTAGAAGATTTCAAAGCCGCATTGGCATTTGGAGATGAACTAGAAACTACCAAAGAATGATCTGTTCGGCCAACCGTTTTTCAGCCTTACCTTTACTTTCCTCGCCTTTTGCCATCTTGGTAATAGGGAAGATGGTAGTGATGTGCACACAGTCTAATATAGCAAGGAGGATTTTGGTTAGTCTGAGGAGGTCACAGAAGTTGTAGAAACCAAAATATATCAGATTTCTGGCTAAGTTAACAACCTACCAAAATAATAATAAAAAGCCTGATTAATACTAAACATTTTGCTATCACAATCAAGTCATCTTAACACAGTGAAAAGACCAAGAACCTAGCTGTGACTCATATCTTCTCATAGTATCTTGCAATTCTGTAAGACACTATAGTTCTACATTTTATCAGAACATTTTCTACTTGCCTACAAATACTGCAATGCCTGGAGTAACAGTCTGTACCTGCAATTAATATTCTATAGCTACAAAATCATGCCATATTTGCCTCATTACAGAAGAGGTAAGACAGGTCAAGACTAGAGGGAATGTACAGATGCTTTTTATGGTTTTGTCCACCCCCCACCCCCAAAAATCGCACATCTAAAGCTTACTGCTACCAAGTTTCACCGCAAGCCCTCCATGTGCACTCCTTCAAGATTCACAGATAAGAATTTCACATATAGTGCAAATACTTAACGTAGCTCCATTATCTGAAGTATATTCCCTCAAACACTTGTTTTTTTAAAAGAAATATCACACTTTTCTTAAATTAACAGTTATTTTGGGAACATTATTGCATGGATTTGCTACATCTTATTTGCACGGACAGACTATTTCAAAATACTTAATGTAGCTCCATTATCTGAAGTATATTCCCTCAAACACTTTTTTTTTAAAAGAAATATCACATTTTTCTTAAATTAACAGTTATTTTGGGAACATTATTGCATGGATTTGCTACATCTTATTTGCACGGACAGACTATTTCAATAGGTCAGTAAAGTCACAGCACACTGTATTGTTCTCTTCCTGAGTAATACTGTAAGCTCTAGAGACTATCCGTGCATGCAGACACAGTGTTTAGTTTTTGAGAATATTTATTCCAGTAAAGCTTGACTTTGCAATAACAGTGAGAGCAAGAAAGTAAACAGGGCTGCTGCAAACCTAAGACATAAGCTCACATTCATTAATTGTATTTCAAGAACTATCATTGCAAACTGTCACAAACTTCAGTGGGGTTGCTTGCACAGAGAGAAAGGACTACACCGGAAAGTAGGAGCCTGCTGAGGCTCAGCACTCACTAATTACTTGCCAATCTACCTGGTATTGAAATATGTACCAACATGCCACCAAAAAAAAAAAAAAAAAAAAAAAAAAAAAAAGGATAAAATCAGAACTGGATAACTACCTCAAAAGTGAGCTTATTTTTCTCTTTATCAGAGAAAGGGAACCTCTGACACACCACATCTCTTAAATATTCCTCTACAAATTCCATTGTCTGTGCAAATCTCTCCTTAATTTCATCTTTGGAAGTTCCACTGCTATCATAGCTGAAGAGGAAAAAAAACAAAACAAAAAACAAAACAAAACACAAAACTTAGCATGCAAATACACAGGGCTCTTTTCCCCCGATACAATTTTTCATTGGTTTGTCAAAATCTGAGAAAAGTTAAAAGCTGTTAAATAGTTTATCCAAACGAGGGAGTCAGGAAGCTGACGCTGTAATTTCCTGGCTTTTGCTGTTTTATCCCATATGCTCATTTTGCACTATTTAAAAATGTCTGAGGAAAACAAAAAAAAGAGAATTTTGTCCCAATAAATAAAAAAAGAAACCCTTATTATTTTTGTGGAAACAGTGACAAGCTATGCGCAGCACTAAGAAGAATGGATGTGGCCAAGAGATGCTGACTGTGGATGCTATTTTCCTCCAAATAGAAACAATATATATGCAAAGTAGACATTAATTTTCCTTAATACAAATTCCAGTTTTTTTTTCCTCAGTGTGTGCAGAGAGCATTTGAAAAAGACAATCCCCACCCCCTTCCACTAACTACTTTTGTTTTCCTGTTTGATCACCTATCACTGTTTAGCCTCTGCCAGAGCTGAAGACAGTTGTTTTTCTATTTTGGCATTTAAAGTTGAATATGATCTACTGCATCTCTCTCAGCAAAGAAAACTAGGCTAGCAAGGAGGGACGGGAGGGAGAGAAAAGAAACCACTGAACACCAGTACTTACACTGACAAGACTCAAATTCCTATTATTTAACACAGATTTTAACTGTTCATTTTCTCCAACCAAAAGAATTGAGTTCTGAACAGTTGTATGGTCAAGAAATCGCATCTCCAGTCTAGCTGTGGTTTTGTATAGATTTTTCACCACTGTATCAGAGTATTTTCCATTGGAGATTAAGGAACACGACTGTGTCTCCAGCACATTACTTGTTTCAGCATCTTCACCCTTGGTTTTGTTTTTGATTGCATGAGCTACCGTATGGACAATCTGCCCTGACGAGTCTATTCTCCAGTCGAATAAGGCAGGGGGAAAAATGAAATAGTCCTCCCTTGCTTTCCCTCCCCAGGGCTAGGTCACTCGTCGCATCCCCCAAATCAGAGACAGACCATCACCGTGATCGCCGCGCGTTTTGGAGACAAACCGCTGCTGCCTCGCAGCTTACACCACGCACGTACAGGAAGGTCATTTTGTTCTCAGGAAGGTTCTCCCCAGCAAACGTTACAGGCAAATGAGACTACAGGGTCTGAATAACAGAACTAGTGAGAATATGTTATGTTTTTTTTTAAATTATTATTTTTTAACCAGAAATAGTATAAATAATGCATGAGTTGAAGATTGATCTGGTTTGATTTTAAAAATCAAGAGTGATGTAATTTCCTTTCCCACGCCATCCCAGCAAGTACTTACTCATCAATAGCAATTTCAGAAGGTATTTCAGACCACAGACGAGCATACTTCACTGGCGTTACTTGTTCTTGGGGGTCACGATCAACGTGCATATGAAGCATTAGCCGGCAGAAAGATGCTCTCAGATCATATGGCAAGTTTTCATCAGACATGCAACGGAGAATGAGGTCCACATCCAGCTGGCCAGATATTTCATTTATGGCTAAGTACTGTCGATCAAGGCACATTCTAGCAAAGAGGTTTAGTTGGTATCTGCAGGGGGGAAAAAAAAAAAAAAAAACACACACACATAAACAAACAGGTTACACTTTAATTTCCAGAAATGCCCACTGGGTATAGTACTGATATGCTCTTACGTGTATTAACAGAATGAATCTTATCTTTTCCAGTAATGTAGCTATACTTATGGAAAGAATAAAGTACTTATCAAACACTAGTAAAAGGTAACGTAGTGGAAAAATAGAATAAAAGGAGTCGTCATGTCTCCCTGAGAGTTACACAGAATTAAGTAATGCGGTTCACAAAAGCTACAAAAGAATCCAAAGAACACTTAAGGCAACTCAGCCTAAAGACTGTAGAAGACCAAACACTCTTTACTAATGCTGAAGCCACAGCTGTCCAGAGGGAACAGTGTAGGTGCACTACAGAACCGTTCAAAATCAGGTACCTGATTAAACAGCTACTGAGCTCTTCTCCTTCAGTCAAGGAATTGGTAGGGAAAAACCAAACTTAATTCCTAACCTTTTCAGTCCATAAACTAAAAGCAAGCAGCTGGCATTTAAGGTATGCACATTCAACAGACTGATAATTAGCCTTTAGTCATAAAGCATGTCCCGCAGTCATGAGTATTCATTCAGGCTTGTGTTCAATAGTGTCAACTGTGAGGTTTCCTAAAGAAATGAACATTTAATTGAATGCAGACTCCTGTTCACTCTCAGCACGCCTCATGGGAATTTGACCAAACCGTATCTTAAACCCTTGTTTTAAGCACATTCATGAGTCTATAATGTAGACTAAAAATAATTAACACTTATCAATTCTACTTCAAAACAAGTGCAAGAAAATCCATGTTGAAAGCAGGTACTTTTTTTTAAAATATGAGAGGTCTCCTTTTGAGCTCAGCCCTCCAATGGCACAAATAAAAACATGTATTAGGACATCTACTGCAAGAACTATTTCAATGGAAGAGATAATGCAAAAAAAGATAGCTATTAAAAAAAAAAATCTAGCTGTACTTTCTGCATCACCATAATCGAGTCTGTCAAACTACTCTCAGAAGTTTATAACCCAGACAGAGGAATTTGGTCCGGGCTGAAACCTGATCTTACACTATGCCAAGAACTTGGTGTCTTGTCAAGTCATCTGGAAACATCGCTTCATGTCAGAGACTGCTAAAAGCATAGCTTAAGCTGTACAAAAGAGCACTGCACGTTAATCAAACCACACTTGTGGCATTTTCATAACTTTATATATTGTCCTGCTGAGAACTACAGGACCACTAAAGGCTTTGAGCTCAGAAAGAAATTTAGAAGGCAGGGAGAACAGCAGTGACTTCTTTGAAACCAACAGCAAAGCCATCTGCACGCTGAAATCCTGTTCTTCCTGCAAGCAGTTGTTCACCTCAACTACCATCTGAATACAGGTAACCTAAACGGTTTACAGGCTCTCTTGTAACACCCGTTTGTCGGGAAACCAAGCAGAAATACAGGCACTAAGTGCTGTGCAAATTCAATGCACTCTAAGCCTCAACCCTTCCCCCCCGCCCTTCAAAATCAGTTTAAACTGGCTTATGCTGATAACTGGACTTCTCACCACGAATAATTTTGTGCTTTTAGCTCTCACTTCAACGAGACTTCATCCTTGCTCTCCAACGGCTATTTTGTCCACGAAACCAGTATCCTTTCTCCCAAACCAACTACAGCCTATATACCAAAGCCTTCCCCACACAGCCTTGAGGAACTTTGCTAGCCAACTACTGCACATGCTGCTAACCTGTAGTAGCTGAGCACGTCCCGATCTTCCTTCTGCCCTTCCTTAGCATCCTGAGCCAACTCTCTGATACTCTTGCTGCGGATTTCCTTGTTACTGTCTCTCCAGAACAACCACACTTCTTCCTCATCTTCTCCAACTTCCAAGGCATTTTCTCCACTTGACACTTCTTCAAACTCAAATCGAGAGAGGACCAGCCTGCCAGAAGGAAGTTAGGTTAGATTACAAACTGCCAAGACCCATGCAGATCTTTTAGAACATTTCTTTTAAGACACTTCCTAAAAAAGGCACTTGCTAAAATGTACTGGTGATATAGGAGTAACTAATTTTATGATCTCACCTGCATTCAGAAAACATGAATTTTATTCCTCAACTCTGCAAAGTAAAAGCAGAGTATCTTACTCTTTCAGCAACAGCAGTTTACTACATTAAATCTTTTGGTTTTATTATTAAAAGCATTAGGTTAAAATGAATTTAGATTATAAGCTTTCCATTCAGCCTTAAAAAGACCAACATTTCAGCTCCATTCAACTGATGAAGATAAAGAAACAAGGAAGTTGAAGACACATCTACCTGACTTTCAAAAACATCTTTACAGGAGAACTGGTTCAAAGATCATTCAACAGACTAGGAAAGGATTTGGTAAACAAAAATATCTAAAAATTGATTAGTTCTCTATCCTATAAATGCCAATTGGATCGGAAATTCTTTCTGCTTACATGGCAAAATAACTAGAAACAAATCAGCTACTAAAACTAAAAAGGCTTTGGGGGCTTTTAGATCTTCAGCAAAAAAAAAAAAAGATCATACATCTGAAAAAAAGACAAATTAAATACACAAGGATAAGAACAAATAAGTGATGTAGCAACTTTACATGCTGGTGGAAACAAATACAGTCTTTATGATTTCATGAAGAGAGTTAACTGTGCAAGAATACTCTCATCCATTTGTGTTTTAAATACTACCTGACAAAGACCTGCTTCCCTTTTACAGTATTTTGATAACGGTTACCTGGGCCCTATTCCCCATATCGAATAAACCCATCTTGATGAACGATAATTGGGATTTGGTGCCTGCTATGATGCTTCAGCAATGGCAGGGCAATGCTGAGAGCTGGAGACCAAAATCCTAACTGCAGAGGAAGAAATGGGAGAGCAGAGATGCATCAGCTCCTGCTTTGCTGCAAGCTGAGCTCAGTGGGCACGCGCCCAAGAAGCGCTCACTCGCTTCAGACGGCTTAGGGAGGAAAGCCTGAAGCCCAGAGGAGGATCAGGCCCCCCGGACCCTGCACACCTTCCTGCAAAGTCTGTCTACTTTGATCAAACGTGAGACATTTGAAAGATTTCTCTGACTGCAGGACTGAGAATGCATATGGCAGACGCCTGCTGTCATCAATACCCATCTACTGTGTATTTGAAGAGGACCCCACACATACTTAACTGCTTTCTCTAGCCGTGCCAGCAGGGCTCTCAGCTTTGAATCACCTTCCTTCTGTTTCACGCTAGGAAAACCATCTTTAAAGGCATTAACTTACTTAGTTTCAATGAGAATGTCTGCATTTGCTGGATTCAGCACGGCTTTACAAATCAACTCCTGTGTCACTGGAATAGACTTGTTCATGGAAACGCACAGATCTGAGAGGTAATCCAAAAACCTGTTGGAAAACGCGAGCCAAAAGGGTATCAATCCTTGTTGAGATCTAGACTGAAGCAATCTACATTTCAGAAAGAAAACATTCAGAACTCCATTTTAACATTGCAGAGCGAGACTGCTGCCCGAGGGGGAAGTTATGTCGAGTGCCAAAAAAAGAAGTGAACTAGCCATGCTTCCTTACTAGCAAGTTGGCAGGTACAGATTTTTTCTCAGAAGGCTAAGAGGAAAAGGGTAATCATATACGCAAAAACGCACGTCTCACCTGGGCTCCCTGTTTTTCCTCACGAGACTAACAAAAGTGTCAATCTCAGCAGCCGTGATGTGCTTCTCCAAGAGCTTGCGATTGTTATGAAGCAGTGCTGTAATAGTGTCCTCGGCCAAGACATCGTAGCCAATTTGCTTCTGCATGAAGCCAAACTGCTTCGCAATGTATTCCTTCAAAACATAGAAGGAAGAGGGTGTAATTAATTCTCAGAATTCAAGAAAATACTCAATAACAGAAAACGGTAAGGTGCTTGTCAATACCAACATCCCAAGAGGCAAACTGGGTAAGATTCAAATTGTTCTTTTGAGAGAAAATAAGTGATGACAGATAACCTTAACACCTCCCTGCCTCCGGGACTAGATACTACCAAGGCATTTTAATAAATGGCAACAAAAATGAACAGCCTTAATTCAGAGGTTAACTTTCAAGGGAGCCTGTAGTAGGCAAGAGTGAAGAAAGTCTTATAATTCACCTGGATTTGGCAGTTAGCAATTCCGTTTTCTTAAATTCCCCTTAGAACTGGTACTAATTACACTGCATATAGTCTCTGATAGAGATGAAAAATGCCAGACAGAGTAAAACTGAGCAATCCAAAAATCTCTCGCTGACTGCACAATCACAGCACATCAGCGTTTAATTAATGGGATGCAGCTTATATTTTTTTGGAGCGCAGGAACAATGTTAGTGCCATTGAAAGCTACAGACATATTTCAGACCTGATTCTTTCTGTAATCCTGCTGAGAGTGTCTCAGCACTCTGTAGCAAAGCCGGCATATGTGTCTGAAAGGAGCATGACGCTGGTCTCCGAGCTCCTCCAACCGCAACATCGGGCCATCACCGCTGTCCGTAAATGGTGCTTGCAACAACTTGAAAATCTATAGATTTATTAAAACACAAAGATAAAATCCCCTGAGACGCTGTCTTCATTTGATTATAATTAGTGTAAAAGCATTGTGTCAGTGTCTTTACATTTCTAAAAGGTACATCAGAAATACACTCCAGCTGCCAAGTTTGTTTCTTTGCCATAGAGCCTGGACAGAAGATGTTGTTGATCACCTTTATCCAACACCGTAGTCTGTAATTTCTTCTTCGAGCAATGGTATGCCTACAGTCCACATGCCAAGAACCTGCTGAAAGCTAGAAACTCGAAGGATCTTTTGGTCCCAATAATTTGGCCAGGTTCTCTGTTACTGCCTTCTCTTTTCTGACAACCCTTCTTGTAGACAGAGTTAAAGCCTACCTGCTTTAGAATATTCTGTTCTCTCATCAGTTTTTGCCGTTCTCTATTAGGTTTAGAAAATACCACCTCAAGGACATCTTGTCCAGAATTAGTTCCACCAGTGACAAAGTAGACCAAATCCTCCAACAATTTGGTAACAGATCTATGGAAAAGCCAGAGGTTGTTAATACAAGACTACAAATTCTATCTGTTGTAAGAACAATGCCAGTTTAAGTTTACAGAGATTTCAAAATGCTAAGTGAAAATAGATCAATTAGAGACTGACTCAGATACTGGATAAAGCACATCGGTTCGTACAAAACTTAAAATTAGGAACTAATGCTCCCTCCCTATTGCTATAGGCTTGCTGTCTAATAGCTAAACCATAGCAGCAGTAAGACAACGGTAGCAGTTTAGGGCAACTATACGCTTGCCAAGTTCTATTTGGCAGTTCTTTAAAATGCCAGGATCAAAAAAAAGGAAAAAAAAACAATTGGGTGATAATCTCTCCCAAGGCCAAATAGAAGACATTGGTTGTAGAAGTGCATGGGCCCTGGTTTTACACAGCCGACTCCGCGCTCTTTTTGTGTGGCCACGTACTTTTCACGGACATTGGCAGAGGATTTGCAAGAAGTCATGTGCTCAGTCTTCACAAGATGGATTATAAATTCCCACACTCAATTTACAAAGCCCATCAAGAAAGCTATGCTGTGGATTATTCCTCCAAGTTCACAACAGTTCTCATGCTCTCATTTCACAGAGCAACAGGGAGGGCTTGACAGAACAGGCTTGAGAACCTCCACTATGGACACGTCAACAATAAAACCATCACTTTTTTTTTTTTTTTTTAAATCTAATCAAGGAGGAAACATAATCCTTCTTCTGAAGATAGCGTACATAGATAAAATTTTCAAAGAAACAGTTACTGAGTAAAGGAAACAACATTATCAGAACCAAATTCTTGCTTCCTTACCTTCTCTCATTCTGGGTTATTGTTCCCTTTTCCAACTTGCCAGCAATGGAACCTAAAACCTTACTTGCATCATTTGCAAAATCCAAGTCCCGAACCTCTGCAGGGGAAACTGGTACTATAGCAAAAGCTTCTTTGTCCTCTTTCACTGGAGAAGTACCAATCTGAAACCCAAAGAATTTTTATCATCAAAAAGGCAGAAACCAAAGTAGTTATTCATATACTCAGTGATAATAAAACAAAAGAAGAACCACGCTCCACTTAGTACGAGGCTACTGATGAAGTCAAACTTCGAGAACAGTACCACTCTGTGCAAGCTCAAAGCTGTTCCTAAATTCAGAGAAACATCAGGAGAGAGCGCAAAACGTTGCCATAAACAATGGACTAAAATCCTCTTCGTGATGACTGTCGTACAGTAGAAATTGAACAGTGTAATGAGTAAACTACTGTGCAAACCTAATGTTTTAGATAAAAAAATTTTGCACAGGCACTATTCATTGCTGTTATGCTGCTTGCTGTTTGACAAACTCAGCATTCTCAAGGGACTGGAACTTCTCCTGCCAACACCACTTTTGTGGAAGTACAGGAATCAAAGGATGTGCATATATAAAGTAACAAGACTTACTTTAAGCATCACAGGTTTCTCTTCTTCTTTATCAATAGGGATATTGGTACTATGAACCCAGGTGTTAGTGCAAAGGTGTCGAAGTCTGACATAAGAGTTCCTGAAAAAGTCAAAAGTTTCAAAGCATGAGTCGCTTTCCCAGATGGGAAATCTTCGCATTGTTTGAATTGCAAGATGTTGGCAGGAACAAGCGGGGAAAAAAAGTGTCATCTTTATCTGTGCTGCATACCATAAGAGGAATAAGACTTTTCTTTCCTTATTTCATTCTATAAATTCACCTTAAGAAGTTGTTCTTACATAATGAAATAAGACTGTGCTGTAAAACAGAACTACATCTATATTTTGTTGCTGTAACTCAGCTGCTGCACAGTAACAAATCAAGCCTCTTCGAATCCTCACATTTCCACACGTATATCTGAGCTGTCAGCTTCCTCCCTTACCGTTGTCTTTTTCAGCCCATAACTCCCTGCTATCTATTTCACATTTTCTAAACTGAGAATTTTTAGAGTAGCTATATGAAAAGTCAATGTTGTACAAGCATCAAAGGTCCTTTAAGATACCAGAACACATGGCTAGCACGCAACAATTTTCTCTAGCCAAGTCAGCAAGTCTTTCATCCTATGGGGACAGCAGTTCCCAGACAGTTTTCTCAGGTGTTTCTGGCAATGACACTATTTTGCATTGTCCTGGTTTCGGCTGGGATAGAGTTAATTTTCTTCCTAGCAGCAGGCATAGTGCTGTGGTTTGGATTTAGTAGGAGAAGAATGTTGATAACATGCTGATGTTTTCAGTTGTTGCTGAGTACTGCTTATGCTAGTCAAGGACTTTTTCAGCTTCCCATGCTCTGCCAGGGGCACAAGAAGCTGGGAGGGGGCACAGCCAGAAGAGTTGATCCAAACTGCCCAAAGGGCCATTCCATACCATACGACGTCATGCTCAGTATATAAACTGGGGGGGGGTGGCCAGGGAGCAGCAATCGCTGCTGGGAACTGGCTGGGTATCGGTCGGCAGGTGGTGAGCAATTGCATTGGGCATCACTTGCTTCATGTATCATTATTATTATTATCATTATTATACTGTTACTATTAGCATTACTATTTTACTTTATTTCAATTATTAAACTGTTCTTATCTCAACCCAGGAGTGTTTCTCACTCTTACTCCTCCGATTCTCTCCCCCATCCCATCGGGGCAGGGGGAGTGAGCGAGCGGCTGCGTGGTGCTGAGCTGCTGCCCGGGGCTAAAACACGACAAGCATGTACCAGCTCTTTGCTAAAAGATGTCAAGCCACAGTCAGATGAGCATCTTGGGCCAGGACAAGAAACAGTCTCCCAGCTGCAGTATGACCTCCGCTCTCCACACAACCGTGGCAGCCCAAGGGAAAGAAGAGGCAGCCAGGACAGCTGCTTCTGCTGGCCAGGTTAACTTCTGCTAACTTAAGAACGTCTGAAGATTTGGAGAGTCGCTTAGATAAAGTAGATGGAACAAATACGCTGTGCTTTCTCAGCGACAGCAAAGAGCCTGCATGCAGACTGTGTATCTTTGAAGGGTACGGCATCTTTTAAGTAGCAAGAGGTACTACATGAACAGTAAAGGACGTGTAAACAACAGAAAATGAAGTGCTAAACAGTTGATGTTACATCCTAGCTAACATAATACACACAGGTCACGGGAGTGGCTGGATAGGACCCCCGAGGCTTTTAGTCCCAGCCTGTTCACTGGCAAGAAAGTCACTTAATCTCAATTTTCCCATCTGTAAAATGGGTTCTGTTACTTACAACTCAATTGTAAAGTACTAAAGCGAAGCTTCAGACACTTGCTAAATATTTCTGTACTAATTTGAGGAAGAATGTAAATTCCAAAGGATAAAACAAAAAGTAGAAGACAGCTTTACCTTAAAATAAAAATTTAAAAAAAAAAAAAAAAATCAAACTTCAAAGCAGACAGTCAGTTCTACCACTATGCTGAGCTGTACCTGGGGACAAGGCTGTCTCCTCCTCTCAGGGTGGTAGGGTCCAACTCGAATATGGAGGAGATGTCGTTTCCTTCAGGCACAGACACCAGAGAGTACGCCATCTTCTCCTGAGCGCTGTGCAAGCCTCTTCTGGAGGCATCCTGCTCAGGGTCCAGCTGTGGAAGAAGTCCCATCACACACAGTCAGACCAAGCCCTCCAGACCCACCGGCCCAGCGTTCAACAGAGGCGTCCCGTCATTTGGGGACATGGCTGAACCACTCCGAGTACCGGGTAAGACAGCGGGGCTTTGTGACACCAGTAACACCGACAAGGAGCTGCTGCTGCCAACCATCTCTTCGCTTTCCCTGGTGTTAGTAACTTCCGAGTTTTTCTGGATCACAAACACAGTAAAACCTAAGCCACAGAGGTTATGTCTTGCAGACAGTGTCAGAAGAGACTCAAAATCCCCCAGCCGTGCACCCCACAGCGCACTGGGAACTCTGACTAGTTTCAGATGACCCGCATCTGCTGAGGTCCCTGCCCCTGGCACTACTAGCTCTCAGAATGTATTTGACATATTGCAATTATCACTCTAACAAAGTAATTATGCAAGCCGCAAATATGAAAATCAGCAACACTATGTACCAACAATCTTGCTGGGAAATAATCAACTTCAGCAGCAAAAATGGGACTCGCATCTATCAATCACAGACAAATGAAACAAAGCTAATCAGGAGGTTGTCTTGCTGTTCACACTTCAGCTTATGATGCACTCAAACACAATGATATGCTATAAAGGGCATGGCATCAGAAGTATCTTTATTTCCAAGGTGCTAGCAAATTACCAGCCTCCTTTAACAAAATAAAGATACTAACATCAACTGAGTAAAACCCTGGATTTTCAGATGAAAGGACAAAAGGGTAGGAAAAAATGAAGATAAACTAGGGAAAAGAAATGACAGCTTTCTCTAAAACCTTTCATAGGGAACTACCAGTTATCATGAGTCAATAAAAAAGTTGCTAACTGTCTGACACAACACGGGAGCCAGCTGTCCACGTATAAACACCTAAATCCTAGATGTAATTTTCAAAGCGATCAAGCAACCAGTTTATCAGCTTCTCTGAGATCTTGGCACCAGTGGAAGGTAGGCACCCAAAGTAGTCGGCACTCAAGTACCTGTCTTTCAAAGTCCTGGCGTAAGGCACTGCAATCCTTAAACATACGGAAAAGGTATCCCAATGTTGCTTGTGCCTCAGGATACTCTGTAGTTAGCACATTTGTAGTCAATGAACTTGGCTGCAAAGTAGTGACATTTAAAGTCTGATTTTGCACATGGGAACAGACAGTTAGCTGTATGGAACAGAAATACATATTGGGAGTGTGCCTTCAAGAGACGGAGCAACTATACACTGAACAGGGTCCATCTGGAGGCTTTACACCCGGAGAAATTCGCTCACTTGGAATGAATTCTCCGAATTTCAGCTGTCTCCATCTCTACAGTAAGGCAGCTGCTCTGTATTCACAATTCTTACTTCAGGAGACAACTGGTCAGTTATTGAAATTGTGACAAAGCTGAAAATGAGCAGTAAATCAGGCAGTAGGATACGGGGCAATTTAGGGAGAAATAAAACTTCAACCCCGAAGTTGACAAAAGGAGTCCCCTCTAATGTTGCAAGGGTACTAGCTGGCATCTCACCCACGCCCGTTCAAACCCCATTCTTGTGCACCTCACTGAGGTATAAGGAGAGAACAACAACGAAACACAGAGCTGTGCAAATAAACCTGCCGTCCTGCAGACGGCTCGTATTTGGATAAAGCTGGAGTTTAGGTAAAGTTGGATAAAGCAGCCTACGCCATCCTGTCACTAGTGAATGTTAAACGATGCAGTAATTTTGTGTCAGAAATGAATTATGTGCTCCTGATCCTACTCTTTATGGTCTGTTTTTGCCACCTAGTGGTAAAGAGGCAGCGGGGAAAAAATCCACAACTCTGAAGCCAGTGCGTTATCATTGTTACTGCACTTATCAGGAGGCATTAACAAAACACCACTAGGATGGATGTCTACATAAAAGACCTTGACACTGATTAACTTTCAAAAAGTTAAGCCAACAAAATAGTTCAATGTTGGATGCCTCCCTCCCCCAATACCTTTGTGGGGGTTTTTTTGGTTAATTTTTTTCATTTTTCCAGCATGTTTACTGAAATCAAGCTGTCAGAAGATCAGTGTTTGCTGCCAAATACCACCAAGAACTAATCAGGATAACAGCTCAGTATCTGGGGGCAAGGGTTAGCCTTTTAACGGCTGGGCTATAACAACAAATCCTTTTAGGAGGAAAGCTCCACCTCGCAGGATTTCAAAGCATCACAGTGCATTCATCTCCTTTTAAAAATCAGAGGAGTCGTTCTTTTTCATATCCAAATGGAGCAAATCTTCCATAATACAGGATAAATGACCAAGAAAGCTGCATAAGCCTACAATCAAACCCAACTAAAAAAGTGTAATCCACAACGGAAAGTGCTGATCCAGTTTTATCTCTTTTCAACTGCTGAAGCAATGCTGTTTCCCTCTGACACCAAAGAGAAGCTTCTATTAATACAAAGCATCAGCACGCTCAGTCTTTGGCACAACATTTACCGAAAACAACAGAGACTTGCTTTCACAGGAAAATCAGAAGAATGGCACTGAAATATCTTTGGCACAACAACATTTACCGAAAACAACACAGACTTGCTTTCACAGGAAAATCAGAAGAATGGCACTGAAATCATTCTCACCCTGCCATTCTTGCTCTCTAGACCCTTTATCCTGGCTTTCCTGTGACAAGCTAAAACGAGAAAGGGAATTAGTTTCTTAAACAAGGAGGTCGGACGACTGACTGGCACAGCACTATGTGAACAGACCCGTAGGGACACTTGCCACCTAGTGTCACCTTGAGCAACTTGCTTTTCAGACCTATTCAAGAGCATGCTTCACGGAGGCAAAGGTTTAAGAAACAGGAAGACAGAAAAAGAGATGCTACAAAGAGGGGAGGCGAGGGGGTCCAGGTAACATGTAAATTTGGTTCCAGGTGCATTGCTCTTCACTAAAGCCTAATCCAGTTTTCAACATCCGCTCCTCCGGATAGGCCTTAAAAGCCGTCAGATCGTTCTCGGTTCTTTACTTTCTTCACTAGCAACAAAGCCTAGACCATCTATGCACTGGCCAGGCAAATACCTGGGCCTGTGTCAAGCCCTCCTCAATTAGGGGCAAGGTCATACTCTTGCCTATACTTACTGAGGATTGACACTCCAGGTCATCTTCCTCATAGTCAGGGTTTACCTGATGAAACAGAATCACAGGCACGTCAAAACTCTGACAGAGCTCAAAGTGGGAAAAAAAAAAACCTCAGCATGGTCTAAACTTAGTTTGTAAAAGATGCACTCTACTGCTACAGCACTACCAGGCATGCAGAACAAATATACCGTGCAAACGGATTCATTTCTATTCGGGCATCTGTCCATGAATTAAGCAGTTAAGTAATGTGCAAACATGCCGAGAGATTTATCTTGTTTGGGATAATTACTAAAGGAGCAAGAGGGGTAGAGAGTTACCAAGTTTCAGGGTTTTTTTTCTTAAAATCCCAAGTGGAATTTCCAACTAGAAATTACTGGCTTGGCAGAAATCTTTTAGAACAAACACTATTCTAGCCACAGATCAGGTGAGCAATCTCCTCTGGTATACTTTTGCATGATGTAAGACCATGTTTTTGTTTTGGCTGATTAGCAAACCCGAGATTTACTGGAAAAGCTCTATACTGGATCACTACTGAAAAGGATTTGCAAGTGTGCATGTGACAAAATGCTACTGTTTTTCCAATCTGCTTATTGGAAGAATATAAAAATGGAATATTTAATCTGGACTTTTCCCACTGAAGCTCTCGGGTCAATAGCATGGATTGAGACAGCCCTTCTGCCCTGCTACACACTCTTACATCCAGGACAGCTTTTACTTACAGAGTTTATGTATTGGCATGTTGATCTATTCATGCTTTGAAGTACATAGAAGTAGTTTTAATAAAGATTTGCAAGAGTTAAGTAGCAAGACTGACAAAATTATAACCCTTAGACTTTTTAAACTTTTTTTTTTTTTAAAAATAAAATGTCTTGAAATCTTATTTCAACGGGGGAGAGATGTCCACTATGGAGAGAGAAAAAGACGTATTTATTTTGTGCTTGGACAGCTAAGCATTATGTGCAGTTCTTACAAGACTGGTCCGAAGTCTAACTGCATTTTCATTTTACATTTAGTTCTGCAATTTCACTCGGAAATCAGTGATTCAAGGGAAACTAACAATAGCTGAATTCATTTTCTCCCAAAGGCTCTCATCATTTACAATTTATTCATCTATTAATAAATTCAACTTGATTCTACTGCCCACATGACAGGATACTATTTAGTGTCTATTCTTTGCAGGAGAAGAGTTATTGCCTCTAGAATTCATACAAAAAGTGAAATAAGCTAAAGACTACCCCTGTACCGTGGTATTCTTTCAAGTCTCTCTCATCTTGTTTTCTATGTTTAGCCATCTACTTTTGTATTAATACGAAGGACCCAAACACCACTCTCCTCCCCTTCCCTGTGTCTATTTTTAGGGCAGGAAATGAGAGATTTTTAGAAGGTGTAAAAGGAAGAAAATACTGTGGAGGGAAAGGCAGAGTTCCTAAGCAAGTCCCCACACCTACCTCTGCTGCTAGGTAGTGTCCAGTAGCAAGGTGTTTGAACCTGAAAAGGCTGTTCCAGTACCCCGCACCACCACGACAAGGATCATGCTGCACCACCTAGAAGGAAAGGGAAACCACGCTTACACCGTGTGCCAGTGACCTCCTTTCAAACACAGCATTTACCGTCTTTCACGTACAGGTAAGAGGAAACAGAACGAGGAGCTCCGGAAAACATGAACCAACCTTTCATACATGAACAACACACAGCACAGTACATACTTTGAGCAGACTACAATTAGTTCAACTCAACAATTTACTAACATTGATTTTCTGCTCATTGTCAAGAGACCATGTCTGTTTGCAACGGCACTGACCATGGCTGGTACTCCACCGGAGTCTGGCGAGCGACGGCAGGAAGATTATGGTGCAAGTTGGCAGAGAAGTAATTAAAGAAGGTGCTCTAGATGTGCATGTGTGGCTAGGTCTTAAAACAAACTTCCTAAAGAAATGCAACAAGTCCTTTACCTTTTTGGTATAACTCATTTTCGACCTTCTGAAAGCGGGTGAGGGAAGACACTTGGAAGTGTTTCAAATGCAATGGTGTTGTACAAAGGAACTTGAAGACTGTTGGATCTACTCTCTAACTTCTCCTTTGGCAAGCAGAGCCTCCAACATCAGATGATCTGTTACTCCTTATCACCTTCTCTGTGGGTACACCCACTTCCTTAGGGAAAACTCAGCGGAGCTGAGCTGTGCCTTTCAGGGAAGGACTAGCTTACCTCTGCCTCGCATCTACCAGCGGTAACTGCACACACTCGGACAGTTACCACAGAAGCTACTGATGCGTTGTAACGTGTCAAAGTAATGTTAATTCTAGGTAGGCTTTCAATGTATATCAAAGCCGATACTTCTAGAAAGACAATACGAAAAACAACTATCCATAATCATAATTAATTTTATGATTCTCACAGGCAGTTCACACAGCAAACATTTAATATCATAAAACAACTCTAGTCACACCAATAGAGTGAGGATATTTTAAGAAGCCAGCGATGGCCAAGGTGTTAGTCATACTATTTAAAAACCAAGTAAAGAAAAAAAATGGTCGAGACAAGCAACGCACAGAGACTAGCAAAGGGTTGCCAGGTCCTATCAAATGAGAATGTGCATAATCACATTATTCCACACCAAAAACAGAGTGTTCAGTACACTCAGCAGGACATTTGAAATTATTAGCTGGTGTTAAACTTTAGTGACTGGTAAGAAAATGACTTCATAGATGCTTCTCTGTCCCCTTTTTCGGAATTGTCAAGAACCTGGATTCGAGAGCTGTCTGCTGCAGCATTAGAGATCAAAACTCCTCTTTGTTTTTGCACAGAACACACAGTAAGTAAAGGAATTTTAAGATTAAACTTCTAATACCAAGATGACTTTTACCTATAAAAAGAAATCCAGGTACACTGTTTTTAAATAGAAACAGTAATTGTTACTAGAAAGCCACCCCAGCCTGGGTTACAATTCTTACCTCTACTTCCCACAGGGCTTTTGAACTGGTTGCAGATGTGGCCGACTGTCTCCCCGTCGTTCTCAGGAAGACATGCTGCTTCTTCCTGTGCTCATCGCAAGTCAGAAACTTCTCCTGTTCCGCATGAAACAGTCTCACCACGTCCCCCTGGCAAAGCCCAGACAGCACGGTCAATGTAGGCATTATCCATCGGTGAACAAGTTACAAGCAAGTAGAGTTTTGAGTCTTACCCCTTTGAGGATATCATCTTTGTTATCGCTCCATTTCATGAAAAGGACTATTTTCCAGCTTGTATTGCAATTCACAGAGTTGACCTAAAAGGAGAACTGCAACAGTTAGTCCCACTGTCTTGTGCCTGCACAAGATACTGCCACAAAGTACTGCCTTACCTTTTAGACAATTTTCAACAGAATACCACAGTTCCTGCTGCATTACTCTAGAGAAGGAAACCCCTTCCTGCATTTACTCCAGAACAAGTAACTACAGAGCTGACTTACAAGGAAGTCACTTGCTACATGTAACTGTGCCACAACTTTTTGATATTTAAGAAAAATCTTATTTTTAGCCAGTCAAGCAAAAGAGATCAAACTCAAACCTCTGTCCAGTGCCCAACAGATATGAGAAAAGTCTGACAGCTATATTAAGTTGCCAATTAACAAGATAAACACAATGCCACAGGTACAAAACAACTTACTGATAACCCGATTTTCATAAAACACAAGTCCTAGCAGCTTAGGTGAAACATACAGAGATTTGTACAGTTGCTCCAGTGTGTCAGTCTGCCCTTACCTCATTGCATCCTGGATTATCGACAAGCTGATGACTACTGGCATGGAGAGGCTGGCCAGCGTTGACGGGATTCAGGACTACTTTGTCTCCAATGACAACCTGTAGATAAGTGCAGCATCAGACAGAAACTTGCAACCTGAAAGCTCTTTTTCTGTTTTTCTTTTTCTTTTTTTTTTTTTTTTTTTTTTTTGTAGGGGGGGGAAATCACCTTCTTGCAGTCTGGAGAGATGCCAGCCTGAGTATGAAAACCAGGATTCTGTTTGCTTCAGAATTTAGCTCATCATACTCAAGTCATTCAGGCAGAAAAAAAACCCCTATACTCTTAGACTCGGAGGCTTGCAGAAGAAACACAGACTGCAGTTCTGGTAACTAACCTATGTGCTGTTTTCCATGAAGTTGTTTCATTGGTTAACATCTAACAAATCATTCCTATAGCAAAAGGTCAGCCAAAAATCTTCCTCCTCCAAGATGCACTTTGATTTGTAAAATCAGATTCTTGACAAGGCTGGCATATGACTCAAGACAAACGCACTTTATTACGGACAGTAAAGGTTCTGTTCTTCCCTTCTTCTAGAGCAAAGTCTTACTTAATCTAAAAACCAAAAAGCCTTTTCTGTATTGAAAAAGAACTGTTCTTAGTGATGAAGCATCTGAGAATTGGTGCGATTTAAAAGAGCTTAATGGCCGCTAAGCCTCTGCTACCCTGTGCTCTGGCTTTACCGTGTGTGTGTCCGTAGAAAAGGAACAGTCACATCAAAAGGTATGGGGCTACTCTACAGGATAAATTATTCCTATTTGATAAAGGCCGCTGTGTTTAGGTGCCAAATATATACCTGGACAATACCACAGAGCACACAAGCTTATTACCTCATGCTTTTAGGCAGATAGTATACCCAGGTGACTCAGATTTGTAAAAAAGAGATTAAGAGATTAAAACAGTAATGCATTTAATTCAGAACCAATTATTTTGCAGACTTCCATGTACAGGACCATTTAACCTCATTACCATCTCATTCTTCATATACAAAATGATGATGAATTTTGATTTCAAAATGACAATGTTGAAAACCAAGATGCTAATTATTTGTTCCAAACCTACTGACGGAACTCAACATTTCCTACCATTTTGAATTGGACAGGAATTGTGAAAGGCTAACATAATTAGGTCCCTTATTCCCTCCAACGTTAAATCATTCCACGTTTCCAAAATACAAGTTACCATAGCAATTTTCCTCCCGCTCATGACAGCATAGGAAAAAGGTTGTTCCTGCAACATCACGCACTAAAAGATCCGTGCATTTCATTAATTGCAAGACAGGCCTCCTGAAACAACCTTTGCCAAGCTGTGCACAAATACGTGAAGATGTTCCTCTTCACACTTACGCTGTCTCCAATAGAACGCAGTTTGTAGAAGGGCTGTATGTAGAACCAGGAACCTTCATTTCCAGCTTCATCCAAAGTCACCCTCATAGCATTCTTCTCCAGTAGAGCTGGAAGCCTCTTATTTACTGTTAAGTATTTGTTACTTTTTAAGTGAAGCAGCTAGAATAAGAATTAGAGTTCAGTTCTAAGAATGCTCATTTTACCTCCCCTCAATAAACAGCCAGTGTGCATAAGATAACCACAGTATTACACAGGAATTAAAACAAAACCTACATTATATAAAAATATGGATGAATTCAGGCACAATTTCACTTACACTTCTTCCAGTACATATACAGTCCTACAGCACAAAACATCTTCAGCTAATCCAACGGTCCCTTCGCCAGCAAATGATAAACCCTTAGAAATGCTCTTGTCGCTTTACAACAGCCTGTTCAAAAACCCAGGATCAAAACTTGGAAAATGCTGGGACTAAGTGGTTTTCCCTGGTAAGAAGGGGGTGGTGAGAACTAAAGCTGCTCTTAACTTGCTTTGCTCTGATTTAACAGAAAACGTGACTGCTTCTTTGAAGACTCTCTTCAAAAACCTGCCGTTCTTCAACCCTCCGCTGCGTACCACCTCGCAGACTGCACACCATCGGCACGGATACGTAAGCTGCAACAGGTCACATTCCAGCTCCCGACCCACCCAGCTCCATCTGACTGTTGTTAAATTTCCAGTAAATTTAGCAGACAGGTACTTTTGTATGGAAAGCACTTTGTCATGCCTTTTGACTACCATAAAGAGTTGTTACTCCCAGAACATTTGGGAGTTACAGGAAAATATGGGCAAAAACTTCGCGCTGCTTTTAATAGCGTTGATGTTTGTAGTCCAATCCAAAATGGATATTATTATTTTTCTTTCATCATTAAAAGTAGATTCCCCCCTCTCCCCCAAACACATATGCCAATAGTGCTCTTCATTCAACCAAGGCAGGGACTTCCCTGCCCTTCCTCCATCAGGTTGCTCCAAATCCTGCAATTGCTTTGAAGGGCAGCCAACCAATTTCTCCTTGCAACAAGAGAGCCCAGTCTGCTTGTGCTCCTAGCCACCCCCTCTGTTGGCTGGTATCACGTCAGCAGCATAAAATAAAAACCATTTGTAGAGGAATTTCTTAACCTGAGGCTCAAAATGCTCAAGGTGACTATCCCTACTTCTGAAGTGCTGAGGCACTCTGCCTAGTGGAAGTAGGTCTGCTTTGGTTCCAGGGTGAACCCACACCTGCTGCATATTATGTTCCTCATTTATTAAAGACCTGTCTTTTTTAATTATACAATTATTGTACTCTCTATCTTTATTGGGTTTGATACATTGTGGTTTTGGCATTCCCTGGGACCTAGCAAATCCTTTGCTTCAATGGACTACAATCACTTATATGGCTTGATTTTCCCTCTCTGTGTCCATTTACTATTTGATGTGTCAACACTTCATTGTGAGAGACCATATTTGGCTTTGTACAGTGCCTGTGCCATCTTCCAAATGGCCAACTCTAATGAAGGCTCTAAGAAGTATTTCTGAAGCAAGCAATCGTATGGTGACCTCAAAAAAAAAAAAAAAAAAAGCAGCACAATTAACCCATAATAAAAAAAACCTGACTGTCATAGCTACACGCCCAGTTCTTGCTTCACAGGATCCCACTTCAGGACAGTGTCATACCCTGCAAAGCTACAGACTCTTGTCCGTGAATTCCAGAAATTTAAAGTCACATTGAGCAGGGGAGTTTGAGCAAAATCCTATACAGCTTGCAAAGGTGCTCACAGCCTACCTGGATAACATTGCCATACTGGATGACTGTTCCCAGCAGCTTTCTGTTTTCAGTTTCGTTCTGTTTCTTTTCCAAATCTGCCGCATGCTGAAATTAAAGAACAATTCAATTGCTGTTTTATCAAAAGTGTGGCCAAACACTCAAGGTTCTTTAAGAGTATTTCAAAGAACTGGAAAAACAGTGAGCATCTGAAACAGTGCAATTTCCTTTTTCCAACTTCCAACAGCGTAATTTCCAATTCCCTTTTTCAGTTGTTCAGGAAGATAGACACACACCATTTAAGCAATCCATAATTTTGGTAGAATTTCACAAAATTTTGGAATAAAACATGAGATGAAAAACTCAGACAAGATAGAAGACAAGCCATGAGAAGACAACACCACAGCTATGGAGGGAAGGTGAAAAGGGACAGGTAACAACTCAAGCCAGTCTGTATTGCTTTGTACTGACTTCCATACAAATTGAAAGAGAAGGACCTCAACTTTGGATCTTTATTTTACTTTGCCAATATAGGCCCCAACTTTTCCACAGTCTGTCTTTTTATGATGACTCTAATCAGCTTCACCACGCAGCAGGACTGTTTAGAAGACACTTACAAGTGCCCGCTGCAGCTCTGAGTACGTGAGTTCCCAAATTCCCGGCAGCGCAGCGTTGGTACTCGTGAGGCTGCAGGTTACCCCGCGCTCCATGATAGACCAGCTGTGGAAATACAGCTGGGCATTTCCGTATCACACCAACATGGTAACAGAAGGGAAACCCCTTGCAAAATTGAATGATCATAGGGATACATTTTTCTATTTAATAACTTAATTTATAACTAGCCTCTTGCACTTTGTTTTGTTTTAAAAGAAGGGAGTTGTTTTGCCCATGCTGTTTTTAAATCCTTTCATTTGTTCAGAAATTCTCTCTTACTTCACATGAAATATGATTTTTTCATTAAGAAAAAAAAAAAATCTGTATTTGCTTTAACCAATATCTGGTGGTAGAGAGTCATCTAAAACTAGACTTCTTTGGAGGCTGAGCATCAATATTTATGCTTTAGTTCTCAGATCTCAAGGACTACAGTAGGTCCAGTTTTCTCCTGCAGGAAAAGAAAGTGCCCACAGTTCCTAACTGTAGTAAAGTAAAGTAGTAACAACACTCGAGAAAGCTTAGCTACTGCAAAGGAAGAGCCGTCTGTATACTGTTATAAAATTTCGGCATCTTCAGCTTACACAAAATGTGCTATTTTTAGAAGCTGTGCTAGGTATGATAGCTGGCTCTTGCTCCAGGAGAACCTGGAGCACACCTGCTCATTCAAATTCAAAAATACATTCAGAAATACAATGCAGCATAATTTTCTCTTTATTATTGAAATACAACTTTTTTTGCTTGATTTCAAAGCATTCTGTCGAGAAAGGATTTTGCCAAGACACTAGGGTCCTCTCAACTATCAATGGCAATCACAGAAAACAGGACTTCTCTGCCTGCACTGGATTGGGTGCCACATTTATTATAAATAGTGTAATCTGTGAAAATACGATTAAGACTTTGGATGCATTTCAAAAGCACGCACCAAAACTCTCATTCAAGAAAGAATCATCTTCTCTAGCCACTAGATGTCAGCTTCTCAACCAGCACTGATTCTTGATACCAAAGAAAGACAAGTGTCCCAGATTTTAAATCCCTTAAATGGCATTAACTTAAAATAACCTGACCTCAGCATTGAGCACTCCACAGCAGACAATAAATTCCACCAGCAGACAAACAGAAGCCAAAAAAGGCAAGTGATGATGAATACAGCTCGCATCACCAATTTCATTAGAAATTATATGCACTGATCAAGAAATCTAATCACAGGCAGAGCTAACAGTTGTACGCACACAGTTCAGGGCATAGCCCCCCCAACACACATCATGCAAAATGCAGGGTTTTTAGTATATTCCATGTGCCAACAAATGGCAAGGATGACACGTGTACCCACACGATTGGCAGAAAAGTAAGTATCACTATATGAGTGATGTACACGGGACCGAATTATTTTCAAGCCATGCATCAGTCCCAGGTCACTGAAGACCTGATTTGGCACGTGCTGCATAAAGGATTAGCCTTTATGTCAGTGATGCGTATTAAATAATCTCCAGTAAAACTGTAAAGTACTCAAATGCTTTCACCAAGTCAAGCAAGCAGTTCAGGCATGGTGGTACGTTCCTGTACAAACATCACTCAGCTGGGGCTAAATACGGGAAAAATCTAATCCTGTATCGCCATAAGGACCCCGGCACAAAATGGTGACGTGTCAGACGAATAGGAACAGGTCCCAGCCACCTGAACTGGCACGGACTGAGGAAAGACAACTCTAAATGACATTGTAACCCAGGGCAATTACCGGTATTACTCTTCTACACGCTGCAGTACTCAGACCATACCTTCTCTTAAAATCCATGAACTCACACACACAACCTGCGGGCATAAACTCTCCCATTCGCTTATACACCGGAAAAACCAAACCCAGAATCCCCCGTTACTTAAAGCTTGCCGGCATGGTCCGCTTCTCTGATCATCAGTAAAGGGGCAGGAGAAGTACGGCACAAGCGAGGGACCTTTGTGCCACAGCCAGCACCAAAATAGCCTTCTCCTTGCCAAGTTAATACTTCTAGGTTATAAAATTATGTTTGCAGAAGCAAAATGAGTCAAACACTCAGCCTTTGTGAAATGCAGGAGCAAGGCAGCCATATGGCAATCAGCAAATGACACTCTCCTACAGGGCCGTTTGTACTTCAGTCTACAATGAGCTTAATATAGGCTTAAAGAAACTAAAAATATTTAGAATTGTAATTTTGACATGAAGTACTCTAGCTATGTAATTTTAACATAAACATGGAGTTTATTTAACTCTAAAGTCAACAGATGGTATTTAAGTTAAGTTGGCTTTTTTTTTTTATATAGGAACTCTAAAAACAGCAATCCTTACCCAGCCTTACTGGGTTTTCAGCTGCTGAATGTCAACATTTTACCCAGAAAATATTAAATACTGCAAGCTAATAAGGAAGGAGAGGCTGTCTAGCCTTATAATTACTCATAATTACCCATCAACCTTTACATGTATCAACAGCAGCTATGTCTGTTTGAGGAATCCCAACAGATTTATCAGACCGGTAGCTCAGACAGCATCTACCAGCACAGCTAACGCCCGTGACATCGAGATGCAATGCCTGAGAATCCTCCGCTCTGCATAGTTGTTTGAAGGGTCCCATTTTTATGCTGTTACCACCCAAAATACCCGCGCAGAGCACTGCTACAGGTTAACACAGGTTCACGATAAAAGCTTAAATGGCTACCATGACTCTAACCCAGTATCACGTATACCGATACTGGGACACACAGACCCGGAACAGCACGTTGTCGTAAGTCACAGGATGTTTAAAGAGTTAGATCTCAGTGAATGTCTCAAAAGAAGCCTTCTATACTGATTTCTATATACTTTCTCGGTGGCTCTGGGTTAACTGTGTCAGGTTGATTTGAAATACTTATTTAAAGCAGTATGATGAGGGCGTTGATGATCAACAGCAGCCTCACCATGAATACTTACGTGCAGCTTATTGAGTAGCACGGCATCTGTTGTGCTGTTAGCTCCTGGCTTTGCTGCTTTCCAGAACTGCTTTTGAGCAGAGTACCGGTTCATGGGACATAGTTTGAACAGGCAATCTATAAAAACAGATGAAATAAACAGAGAGATTGCTTCAACCTTCCATAATTATCTGGATTTTTGCTGCTAACATTGTCCAAATATTCCAGCAGCAAGGAAAGGTTTATAAACAAATTCCAAAAAGCTCTTGATCACACAAATGCTTTTTTGAGCAACAGGAATGTTGCCCCATGAATGATAAAAATTAACTGTTACTGCCAAACATCTGATGCAAGACCAGAAAATTTATAACTCGTCCCAGTCAAACACGCTACCATACTAAAATGGTAACACGTTTCAGCGCTTTCCCAGGCACACAGATCCATTTTACACACTTAAGACTTTTCCGTTTTCTACTTTAGCAGGCACGCTACTTCACACAATTAATGTTAGGTTGGGGTTTTTTTGTTTGGTTTTTTTGTTGTTGGTTGTTTAGTTTTTACATCAAGTCCCTTCTGTCACTAGGGAAAGCAAGGCACAAAGAATTGGAGAAACTCACCTAATAAAGTAGCAGCAGCATAAAATACCCCCAAACAATAGCACGCACAAGCACAGACATTCAAAGCATATTTCCAGGTAACAGTAAACCCCTTGGGGTGTCGGGTTCCTTACCCAGTCCATCGACACTGTTTATTTAACATTCTGCCTGGCAAAAGCCAGGAATTACAGCTCATTAGTCTTATTAAAAATACATTTTCATATTAAAGAGATGTTAACTTATCAGTAATAAAACCAAATTAGCTGCGTTTACTGTTTTTCCTCTTCTCTGTTGCTAAGCAACTGAACACGCAAAAAAATAAGCTATTCAAAGGCAGTGCCTAAAGTAGAGGCTCAGAAGTTCAAACAAAGTGCCAAAAAAGCCAGAAGGCTGTTCCCAGAGCCTCTTTGGCCATGGCGTGGATGTAAGACTTCAGGCTTCTGAGTCACATGGTATTTCTCAAGGCTCCTGGTGTACTCTTATTCCCAAATTCTGCAATTTGGGAAGCGGCAAGCTGAGGAGAGAGCTACCTGGGGCTTTGATCTTCACCGTCTGAAAAGCACAGCTGCTTATGGGCTACCTCGCTAATAGACACACGGGATGCACGTCAACCAAAACGGGAAAAACCCCACGCAGAGGGCAAGTTATTTCAGTTCTGCCAGAGGGTAAAGTCGCCGAAGGGGCTGAGCCCCGCTAGAGACAGACCTTGATAATTTTACCTTGGAATGTCATTGGAGATGGACACCTTCACTCTCTTCACGCCTGCCTTAACGAGAAGACCCGTTTCACGTCGCTCTGCCTGCCTAAACCATCCTCAAAGCACCGTCAGAGCGCACCAGGCAGCATCAACACCCTTCAGAGAAGGGCAAAGGTCTGTCCTCCAAACTAACCCCCTTCTACCGGGGTGACGCACCAGCGGCAGATCGTTTCGTCTCGGTGAGCCGCCGGCTGCCAGAGGGGCTGCCCAGCTTGCCCCAAACCACCACAGCAACTCCTGCAGCCTGCTTAGCTGGCGGCCCAGTACACCAGCAACAGATCCCGTAGAGGTTGGTACGGCACTGGGGATCTTTAATGGAGCGACACGCACCGGGGAAGGACAGAGCTGTGGGCACGTGGAAAGAGATTTAATTGCATCTATCCAGAAATACCTCCGCTTTGACACTACCAGCTTATAGCTTCTGAACAAACACGAAGAGTGGAAAACGAAGGGCAAAGCACACTTTCCAGGCTTGCTCTCTTCAACGTATTTTTCATTTACATAAAGATGATTCACAGAGATTGACAGCACAGAATAGATTCAAAAAGCCACTGCGGGCTGGCACTTTAAGCTAAGACTATGCACTGTAAGCAACACACCAGTTATAAAATTTTCTATTTTTGCTTAAACCATCAGTTCACACAATGACAGCAATTAACACACAGAACTGCATAGAAGAATTAATTGTATGCTAGATTTAGTCACAGTGCAAGTGTACTTTTTTCCACCCTTTTCAGTCAAGAAAGTTGTCAAGTTAGGCTTAAGTTCTAAATTGTTAACTGCAAGCAGCCCCCTCTCTTCTCTAGCACAGGCAAGGTCTGCAAGTGTTTGCCCAACGCGAGAACAGAAGACATAATGTGTTTTTCTTAGGTTTTCTTCCTAGTTACAAAGCTACAGTTCTAAAACAAACAGTGAAAAGTACACAACATTTTTTTTTCCTAGTATTTGTTCTATGAAACCTATTTCTTCAGTGGTTGAGGAGTTAAACTTAGCCTTATTCACCTTAATATGACCACCAGAGGCTGTTTAGTACCAAATGTATTTCGCCATGGGTCAAACTGAACTTTATGACCAGAAGACTTTTAGATCTCCAGATTCCATAGTCTTAATATGTTTACAAAAATTAACATGCAAGGATGTGCTAGCTGAGTACCATCACGGTCAGCAATCTGCAACCCACAGTAGCGATGACTGTGTAAGATAAACCAACTGCTTGTCAGACGCTACACTACGGAAGCTAGTTCTATTTCTGAGAGATCCAAAATGAAGCCAAAGCAGCTGAAACAATCAGCTATCTGCTCTGATCGTGGATTCAAGCAGCGTTAGCCACACAGGAAAGGTGATAAAGCTATTACTGCAAAGTAATTACAACTTATTATACACTCTTTGTTGAATATTAACCATGAAGGAATGCATTTTCTTTTCAGATCTTCATGATACACAGTGAAAAATGGCAGAACTGCACACCGAGTAAGTATAAAAATAAAACACTGCGTAGCTGCTGATGAAACGATGACACATCACGCAGCCCGAACACCGAACAAAGGTCCTGCAGGCAAAAGTGACTGTGTGATTGTACGCTACCCCATCGTGCACATGCACAAGGATGATGGATGAAGGTTATACGGACACGTGTTACATGTGCATTTCAATGTTTCCAAGCTAAATCATGTTCTTTCATCAGCAATTGCTGTGCATCTAATAAAGTGGACTGAGTAAGACCGGAATTGCACCACGGGATACATGAATGCTCTCTTTGGACATTTAGATCCCCACATGGGTCTCTGCCACCTGAAGCTCAGAAAAATATTTTCAGTCATGTTTGGTTATCCTCTGCATGTACCAGCATCACAGAGAATAATCAAGATCAAGGATACTGGAGACACTAGAAAATTCTGTGTTCTGAAGTATTCTGGGGTTTTCAACAGAGAGAGAAACTTGCCAGCTACATTACACCAGCTGCAGTTCTTCTACCCCATGCTTTTAATTTTCTCTTCTTCCTTTTCCATTCCCTTCTCCTGTACTAGACCTTGCTTCTTTCCTACCCAGTCAGAGTCTCCAAAATTCCAGCCTTTCCTGCCAGTCCAAGCCCAGCCAGTCAGATTCTCTACTTCCATCCCAATTAATTTATTCGGCTCCCAACAACTGATTAATCCCTCCCTTCTCTTTTCCCCCCGTGACAGCAATGTACGGGTCTCCACCTAATAGTTGAGGAGGGATTATATTTTGCCCAGACACTCCTCATCTCCCAAGGTTTCCCAACTCCAACATCCAAGGCTCCTTACACTCCCCAAAGCACGAGGAACCAGAACTTTACAAAGAAAAGGCTGGGTGTTTGTCCTTTGCCATCAGCACAGTATTTTGCCAATCACTTTTTGGGAACTCAGACCTGTCTTTAAAAACACATCTGGGAAAAGTACCTGGCCAAATAAAAAAAAAAACCAAAAACAAAAAAACCAAAACAGCCCAAACAGCAAAACTTAAAAACATCAGGCTGGAAAAGCATCCCATAATGGAAACTTTCAGGCAGCCTGGAGCCTCTGCAGTGCTTCTCACTCCACCCCATAGCGAACAAGAGCTGCGCTGCATGGGGGCAGGTACGCTGCTGCTGGGCAAGTGAAAACTGCCGCGTGGTCAGTCCCTCTGAAGGGGCAACGGCATCTGGGCTCCCAGTTTCAAGAAACGGACCATCACTGTTTCACCTATCACAACATCAGCAAGCCCCCTTTCGGTGCTGCCCCATGAGAGCTGGCTTGCCGGCTAACCCCGTCCTGTTTTACCTGTCGGGTTCAATTCAATCTGGTATGCACAATTTTTGTTGTTGTACCAAAAGGGAAAACCTGACCAGACCGATTTTTTTTTTTTCTTTCTTTTTTTTTTTTTAAATGGAATCTGCTGCATGGGAATTTAAGCAGCATTTACGTAGCGTGTTAATGAGATTATTACAAAATATAATGCAAGACTTGTCCAAAATTGCAAATACCCACTAACTTCAGAGAGGCTGGAATGATTTGGAGAAGCGAGTGGAGTATTTCGGAGCCCACCCAAGATACAGTCACCCTCTTTCAGCACAAGCTGCCTAGGAATACGTAACTCAAACGTACCTACGCAATTCCAGCCTTCCCTTCGGAAGGTTTCCCCACCACCTGGGGCATTGAGTGATGTTACTATGTCAGTTCTACCCTCGGCGTATGAAGACAGCTCCGAAAGTTGCTAAAGCGACAGTGCCGGCACCCAAAGCTCTCCACGGTGCCTTTGCTGGGCGGCAGCTGGGCACCAGCCACCATTGAACCTTCCCAGCTTCCCTACTTTCAGGGATCGGCTCGGATCCCTTTTGAGTCGCGGGACGCAATTTGTCTCACCCTGCCATTCTCCAGTGTGCTCGTTTCTAAATGATCTGGAAGTACTTTCAGCTTCAGCCAGGCTGGTTGTGTAATACACCACTCATCATTTTTTCCAAATCTCCCCTGGCTATTTTAAGCCTTTAGTAGAAAGTCTTCGCCGAACCTTCTGCAGTTAGAGAAAGCAGGCATCAAATATTTTGTTGGCAACAAAAAGGTGCGTCATTATTTCTTTTTTTTTTTTTTTTAAACACAGACCCAGACTTCACAAAATGCCAACTGGAGAAAGGCAAGAGTCAAGAAAAATTATTCCCCCCTCTCAAAAGTCATACTTCAGAGTACTTTCAGATGAGGGAAATCTATACGGATGAAGATATTTAAATAAGTCACTCACAAAACTCACTGAATATTTAACACCAACACAGCTGTTTCTTCGTTACTTGG